TTTATGAATAACCAATACAATTAAACAACAACCGTCCATTTAGTTTTATTTCTATATGTTCATATCACACAGTATGTGCAAAAATGTGCAAAAACTGGTCCGAGCCCCTCCCTCGGAGATTTGTCATTCTATAGCAATCACTGATTGGCTCCTGAACCAGAAGGCGGGCTTTATTTGCCATATAGCGATCGCTGATTGGCTCCTATACTAGAAGGCGGGGCTTCATTCGCCACATTGACAGTTACACTTTTCCTCATTCAAAAGTATACGAATGACATGTCTTGTGTACTCTATAGTCTTTGGTTAAAATCGTGTGTAGGGTCGAATCGAGATCTCAACATTTTTTTGATTAATTGTGCAGCCCTACTAATTCAAAAGCGAAGCAACGCTGCTTCTGAATGTATGACACAAAAATGAGTGACAAGTGTAGTACAGCTATTATAGAACAAATGAACTAATTTGTTTAGTGAATCACAAGATAACTATAAACTAGTCCAACTCGAAATGATTAAGTTGACTAACATGCTGTTCCTGTAGTATTGTTTTTCAAAATTCTAATATTACTATAGTATAAAACATTGTTTAATAGCTGCCAATTACATTTTTCCATTAATTTTTTGCTTTAATTAACTAAAACAATTAAAAGCCAAGTGAGACTTAAATAACTACAGTACCCGATGAATACCTATAACATGTAGATTAAGGAACAGCAACTGAAATTATGATGCAAAGAAAGAGTCAGTGCGAGTGCACCTCTGGGCATTATTACCGTTTCACAGCACTTCTCCCCAAGCAGCGAAGAGACTACACAGAGTAATAACACAGCCTGATGTGCATGAACTGTGATACACCTGCATCACACAGCTGTCATTCTTTGCTTAACTCTGTCTAGACAAAGAGAATAATACCAAAAGTTGGTTAAAAATTTCTTTGTGGGGGATGCAAGCACACCCACAAGCTACCAAAAGTTTGAAAATGCGAGAAATGTGGAGTGAGACTGAAACTTAAAATGGGCATTCCCTGCTTGCAAGGGGACACCCCTGCTTGCCACCCATTTGATTTCCTTTTAAGTCTCACTACAAAGCAGAAACTGAGAGGAATAAATAACATGAGAACCCCCCGCCACTGTAACGCTTCAGTGTGTGGAAAATATTCACCAGAGAGACTATCCTGTTCGACCGTGAAATTGAGCGTGCATGTGTGCTTATGCTTGCCCCCCGTCGACACAGCGCACAGATGAACTGCACTGGCCTGATTGAGACAGAGCATCCGAAAGACAACCGCTGCTGAAGTTCAGCTGGCAGACTGAAATTGAAGTGATGGAGACAGAAAGAGTTGAGTGGGAGTCTACAGTAGGACGGCCTACATTCATGTACCGCATGCACGTCTGCCTATTGTCAAAACACACAGACCTCATTTTCCTTCCCCACTGAGGAAGTGACATGAAGAGCACACTCCAACAATTTCTGCTCAAGACGAACCAAAGGTGCAGCTGGGGCAAAACCTCAGGATGTGTGATCTCAAGACTTCATTCATTAGCCCACTTTTGTGTCATTCAACTCATCAAACCCCACATGATACAAAAACTCGACAATTCCTTTTGCCACAAAAAGTATATATTAAGTATACTATTAAACTAAATTCACAGACAGCTTTAGGACTTTTACAAGTTAATTTTCCCAAAAGGAATTAAGCCAGATAATTATGAAATAGGTATTAAGGTGATAATCTCAAGATGAAGATCTCAACAAAAGAGTTGACAAATGTTGAGGTGAGCATAGATACTCACATTAGATGTTGCCTACCCTGTAGCTGTCTATTGTAAGGAATGCGTCAATAGAGCTGCCATTTTAGTACAGGGTAGCGCTTCTTTGAATGAATACGGGACCAAGGTGCAGTGGATTACTAAGCAATCCAGATACAGAGATATATACACATCATGGTTGGTAGGGCGCCACACCAAATTCATCCCGCCATGGCTACATTACAGCTTCTCATTCAAAACAGTGAGTCATTGTTGTTGTTGTTTTTTTAAGTGGGCTATAAATCATAAAAAAAGGTAAGTAAATTACAACAGCAGGAACGTTTCTGTAATTGTTGTGGTGCTCTGTCTTTTTTTTTTAACCCTTTAAGGTGACTTGCTGACTGACTGACTGACAGGTGCGTGATGATGTAGCTTTCAGTTAAGATGAACACAGTTTCCATAATTATACTTTATTTATAAATAAAGGTCTTTGGTTCTTCATACAATGACTTTATCTTGCTGGAGTTTGTAGCTGTTTTACTTTACTATAGGACGCATTAAAGCCGATCTGTAAGTCTATTGGAGAAATTCAGAAATATTCCTAGTAAATCTTATAAATGTTGGAGACATACTACATAAACGAACTAAAATCACACTTCAGCAACGTTTATAACTTTGTGCACAAACAGAGGAAATCAGCGCACAAACAAAGACATTCACATGCTCGTATAAATAAATGTGATCTTAACTTGTAATACTGCTCACGACATTTCTCCATTTGTCATTGAAATAACACCAAGTCCTGCAGCCACAGCTGAAAAAAATCCTAGAGGAAACATTGCACATATATACATATATATATGATCATGGGTTTCCCCCGGTGGTCAGTATGCAAATATTTTTTTAAATGACTAAAATTGTAATTTAGATTACTTTTCTACATTGATGGATGAGGGACCGCACGGGCATTGCCGACAGACAGTGTGTGTTTATGTGCATGAAATGTATTATCCTCCTCACCTGTTAAATTCGATTGAATCCATATCCTGAAACACACCTCCTCTCCTGCTTTCACTTCTCATTCTAACGGAGGGAGCGATTCATTTGTGAATGAATCTCTGTTATGAACAACTCATTCACTTAGCCAACAATAACACCAGTTTCTAGTATTACGGCATCTTGTTATCATATTTCATTTACATTGTTTGGTGATTTTATTCAACAAAACTAGCATAAGCTGGGTATTTAGTTAGAGTTGGTGCTACTTTACCTTATGGTGAATGCAGTTAATGACTGTTTTTATCATCAAAAACGCTACTTGTTTAGAGCAAAAGTTTGTAAAATACAAAAACATAAAAAACGAAGTCTTACCTATGAAATCTTCTGCCTTTATTGTTTCTCGTTACTACAGCTGTACACAGCGCTAAAGTCCAGCAACTTCACATTGGCACACTGTCTTGACTAGTGCGATTGAATGACATTTGTGAAGCACTATACAAACATGGCGGCGCTATTGACGCATACTCAGGGTCCGTATGCAATATTTAGTTTATATATGTATGGGTCTTGAGAATGTCATTAAAATCCTAATAAAAAAAAACAAATTTGATTAACTTAATAAATATTACACAATTTATTGTAGATAAGTTAAAGTTATGATTCACTTGTCTAAAACGGCAATAACAATAGGTTTGAATTCTATAACATCTTGCTTATCCAACCAATGGCAAAGCATCCAAATTTGCTTATCCACCCAATGGCAGAGATTGTTTTTGACTATTATGTGGCCTAATGTTTTCATTCTTGTGGTCACATGACAAGATCCAAATTTAGATAAAATGACGTTTTGACTTTTGCTTTCTACTTGCTTCCGGATTCTTTGTGCAATCAGACATCACAAGACAGCAAAAAGGAACGTCAGTGTAGGAAAAAAATGCATCTCCTAGAGCAAAACAAAACAACACGCACGTTCTGTACATGACACATTGGCAAATGAAAAGTAATATTCAAAATGATATAAACAGCATGAAAACCAGTCTGCCAATCACAGCGTCTGTTCTATGCACCAACTAATAAAACAGCCGTGTTAAAAATGACCTTTCAATCCACTTCCATATCTGACTGCCACTACACACCCAATCAGATCACAGCCCTGATCACAAAGAGAAAAGGCTGAGTTGGCCAGGACCCCTCCATTACCTGCCACCCGTCCAGTCTCTACATAAAGCGAACCAGCACAAAGGATTTTCACATGACTTTACTCATGCTCGCCTTTCATCAACTGGACAGCTGACCAAGGGGGAAAAACATGAAGAGAAAAAGTGAAATCAACAAAAATACAATAGATAAAAGGAACACAATGAACTACCAGTGAATCCCCCTCTATTTTCTAAAATATGTGCTCATCTCCATTTGGACTCTGATCTGTTCTGTAGAAATCTGATTGAAAATGAAGACTATGGAGATCAATAATGACCAGTGGCTGTGGCTCTGCTATCTTATCTGCCATTCCTTTCCCCTCCACAGAGTTACAGCATCCCCACCCAGGCCCAAGAGAAAGGCAGGCGCTAAAAACAGCCCCTTTTTGGACCCAAGGGAGCTAGCAGATTTGACCATGCGAAACACACTCTTTCATCAATAACATCCACTTTTCCTGGAATAATATAGCCTTGTAAAAGCTTCACACAAAACCCCAAAAGACAACAAGTCTAGTAGGGACATAAGCCTTTAAATGAGTAGTTCAGCTAAAAAAAATTTAAAAATGCATTGGTCAATACTGATAACTTTTAAATGGCTATTTCGAAGCAATAAAAAAGCAGTAAAGCAGTAAAAAAAATCATACAACAAACAAATACATTGGATTTTCTTACTTAACTGAAGAAAACAGGGAAACTCCAAGGATACATATGTATCTTTCTTTCCATGAATTATTAACAAACTGCAATGGTCCTCTAATTAAAATATCCTACGATTCTACTGGTTGATTAATTTAGATTTATTAGAGAATAAAATACCTTCGGGTTCACCCAAAGTCTTATTGGTTTGTGACAAAATGAGGGTGAAAACCTTATTTTTTAAGGGGTAGACGTGCCTTGTAACAAAACTTTTTACTTCAAGGTTGCCCATATAGTTTGTTTGTTTTTTTAATCTTTGAAAAGTCTTTATATTAAACAGGACAATCTGACACATTGAACATACATAAATGCTGACTGAAGAAGAATAAGGTAGGTTAAAAAACAAGTAAATTTTAACTCACCCATCCTCCTTGGCTTTGGATCCAGGGTTGAATATGGTTGTCTAGGTAGACGGTCATCCATTCTGCGATGCGTCCCACAAGCGGACTCATCTCCTTCTCCACACACTCGACGCACAGAGCCCCTCCGAATGCGAACAACCCCACGATTCGGCCCCAGTTGACGCCGTCGCGAAACACCTCATCCATCACGCTCTCGAAGCTCTGGTACGCTGTGGCGGGTGTGATGTGGAGCTGTGAGGAAAGATCGTTGAATGCTCTGGAATAGCGCAGCTCAAACTCGTTGGCAGAATCACGGAGCGCCTCCTTCACTGCGTCTAGACCCCCAGACCCATTTGTTTGACGCTGGGGGGATGAAGCAGGGGATTGTGGTGGGGTCCCAGTGGAACTAGCGTTCGTTCTATTCATGGTGCCATTAACAAGAGTTGTCGCTCCTGCTGCCCCCTCGCCATTCTCTTCAGCCCCATCAGTCCGATTTGTGTCTTCTGTAAGTCCAATGTGGTTGCAGGGGTAGTTCCTCTGCGAGAGTTTATATTTGATAAAAAATACCACCAGTTCTCGGTTATAGTAAGACATAATTCAGGTTGTTGCTCGTTCTCCGATGTCTAGATATCCACTAGCTGTTTCTCAGAACACAGTGCACACCCTTGCGTCCTGCTCAGGCTTCTGCCGACGCTCAGGGATGGTGCAATGGCTCATACCCTGTGGTAAGACAACAGTGCAATGAATTGATCCATAAATACGCAATCATCTTCACAAACAGGCAGAGGAGGGGGGTCAGGGTGAAACTTTGGAAGAGGTTAAGGGGCACTGAAGATAAACAGCTTTTTTCACCACCTAAAACCCTCTTACTTAATGAAGAGCTTGATCAAAGGAACAGATGGTAGCCTCTCATCACCTGCCTCCTATGAAAAACATGGACAATTTCCCCTCTCCCCTTGTCCAAGACAAGGCTAAATGTACACTGACCTTGACATGAGTGAATTTTAAACAGCAGGGGGGCACAAATGGCCAACGTGGCTGGAATTATGATTCCCTCATTCGAACAAATCCATAACGGACCTTCTTTGTAGTGCCAGAAGAACTAGCCAAGAGTCACAGACAAAAGATTCCCCAAGGTGTTTTTCATTAGGGGTGCTTTTTACAATGTTTGCTCAGTGTATCTGTATCACTAATCTCTCTTAAACATATAGAACAGTTTGGAGTTATTGATTATAGATCAAATTTACACAGCACTATTTTCTAATTATAAACTCCAATCAAAAGGATTCATTTTTTTCGAGACAACTCCCTAATTCAATGGGCAGCTAGACAGACAGACAGACAGAGACACAATGACTGACATCCAGATAAAATGATCGTTCATGTGTAGAGATTTTCGAAATATCTACATTAAAGAAGAAACGGATTAAAGGCTAAGTTTGTGCTGAATTCGTCTATTTGAGTGCATGGGATGTTCACGCGCTGCATTATCTGATAGCTCGTGGGAAGAGCGCGAGAGTTCTCAGGAAACACTGGATCAGCCAAAAACACGTGCTGACAACAACGAAGCTCAGAGCACAACACATGGCCATCTCAACGCAGCTCTGTGTGTGGCGTGAAAATGACAAAAAACACACATTTCATAGCATTTTTTATTACACTTACTAAGAAATGACTCACTCTTAGTCCGAAATGTGACGCAAAATTTCATCATTAAATAAGAAACACCGCCTTTTATTGAACACGTGTAATGTTATGTATATTTACTGAAGTGGAAGCACGTATTGATGTCGCTGGATTGATCGATGAGTGAATAATTATTCTAATAAAGGCGACACGCGGTGTGTTTACAAACACCAGGTCAACTCACACAGCACAAACACATTCCTGTATACAGCAGCAGCACATGCGCGGCCACGAGAGAGTGTATGGATGCCATACCTCCCAAACACATAAACACACAGAGCTATTCCGCGCTGTCTTATGTTAGTGATCTCAAATAACAACATTTAAAGCTGACACGAGACTGAAGCAAAGATATTATCGAGCAATTTGTTAGAAATTAACCAACACACAAGTCTTGCGTTAACATTTGTCTACTTTATCTTAAGTTATCGCGCTTATTGACAACGTTTACGATAATGACAACACAGAGAGCAAAAGAGCACTGAGCTTACCATAACACAATCTGCTTACTCTTCCCGTAGATTAGTCAACCAAGCAAACAAGCCCTCGAAATTTAGGATAGTTACAGATTAAGCGAGGAAATTAAACAGAAAGCGTGGCAGATCAAAAGTAATACTGTATGTTTGGAAAAAAGCGAGTAAGTGCTAGATATTTCTGTTTAAGGCAGACCTCCCCTCTCTGTGATAGGATATATGATCACCTACATGCGTGACGTGATCAGCCATTACGTAATAAGGCTCCATTATAGGCCCATAACACAGAGGCCGTGCGGAAACAACCAGTCAGTTCTGTCTGGGAAGTAAGAGCAATACTGATCACTTTCAGAGAGGAGCTCGCGCAGAGTCAACCGAGCACGAGAAAACGCTCATTAAAAGGGTCCAATTATTAGCCAAATATCCAAACAAAAATCATAAGCAGCTGGGAAGAGCTTCCCAAACGTCGGCCTGCTAACGTTAAGGAGAAAGGCTGGATGCGGATTATTCTAGATTATTCTCCTGAATCAGTTTAGCATAAATGATTCACGCGTGTGAGTAAAATTGAACAGCCCATGTAACGTTATGTTTAATTCACGAACGAATATGATGCATTTCTGCACACATTACAGTCACGAAAACCACGAGCAAGAGAGCAAATTAATAACAAGCCCTATATAATTTATGGCTCTTACTTGGCCAGGAATGCGTTTCCTGTAAAAATCCAAGTCAACTACGTCAATCTTTCCTCCCTCGGCTAGCTAGCCGTGTAGCTGCTAGCGTCATGGAAGATGGACTGGCTCACCGTGGTAACACCAAATCGCTTGTAAGCGGCTGTAAAGACCCACACCCCTATCGTAGACCATTTGTACTTACTCAGATATTTGAGAGGGCAAATTCATGATGTCCCGCATGATCGATGTGGGTGTTCGTCCTCGGTCTGTGCGGAGCCGCTGTCAGCAGCGCATTCGGTGCAGCGAGCATTCAGCGGCGCAGCGCTCACTCAGTTCCGCCCCTTCAGACTCAGAGCTGCTCTTTAAAACCCAGGAGCAGTTTCATTTATTATTGCAGCAGATCAGATGAGCTCTGCCTGTGCTGGAGTTTTACTGGAGTTGGATTTTACTCACTCCAAAGTCCGTTAGCTAAAGCTTTGTATCATTTGAAAAGCAACAAATTTAGTATATATAATTTAAAACGTCCATTGAGCGTAATTCTGAAATCTAAATTTAACTTCGCAACTTTTACACGTTATCTGTCACTGATATAAATCCCCCTCTTCAGATTTCCTTATCTGTTCACTAATGTTTTGTTCCGAACACTTGACAGGCGTTATGAATGTTAATGTTATTAACCGCAAATGGCTCGCGCTCGTTAAACAAAGAGTGGCAGAATTACTATGGTAACCTTTGTTACCCCCAAACGCGTTTCACTGACAGCGACACCACGTGGTGTATTCAGCTCTTCCCGTTACTAACATCAGGCAAGGCCTTCACTTTTACCTTTTAAAAACTCGTCAAGAGCCTCTATAAGAGGGGTGCCAATACTTTTTCGTATGAAGGGCGAAAAACCAAATGCCGATGATAAATAAACCGAACTAAGTTAGATTAAAGTCGCCATGGGTCATATCCTAATTTATTACCTAATAATTAAAAATGAGTAAACATCACTTTGAATCGTATAACCTAATGCAATATATCTTTTTCATTATAACTACTGCAATAAAAACATAAACGGTCATATGTATAACACAATGGAGAATACACTGAATACACTAATCAAGCAGAATCTGCCTTGCCTTGATTTGCTTCCCAAAGTTTTCTATCCGTTGGGTGACAATATGTACATTTTAAGCTAAATCTGATTATTTGACACCATTTAAATGGAAACGTTTAATTTCACTTAGCCTTTTTTTTGTTAGCTTAATACAACAAACTAATAAAAGTTCACATTAAATTTGAAATGACAATGTCTGAACCATCCTCGGGCTAAATCAAAGGTTACCATGGGCCAACTTTGGCCCGTGGGCCCTAGTTTGGGCATCTCTGCTCTATTTAAACTTTTAAAGTATAGACCTAAAGCATTATATAAACTTAAAACAAATCTTGTACAATAACATATTACTCATTTGAAATGATTAAAGTTATGAATTAGTTGACAGAAATGTCTTCAATAAAGAAGAAACAGTTAAAGGACAATGAAACCCCCCTCTTTCAGCTCAAGTCTACCTCAGAATTTTTTCAAAAGATTTTACAAAGTTAAAATGCAAAGAAATAAGGAATAAATTAATGTCCTGCTACATATGTTCCACAATTTGTTATATCATTATAAAGATAATCATGTAAACACTATAAATGAGGAGGACTTCTCTCCTTCTGAATCACCGGGGTTGAATGCAGATACAGTGGATAGCAGTGCAGCAGGTCTCTTTCCCTGTCTGTTTCAACCAATAGCCCTACCGGCAATCTGTGGGATTTTAAACATGGCGAACACAGCAGCACGGATATAGGCGATGTGTTTGAATAGTAACAAACTCAACTGATAAAAGACAAAGTCTGCCATCCTCCAATTCTCGTACAGCCCTCCTGACAAAAATGTTTGCTGCAAACCAACAGCTTTGTGGGGAAAAAAAAAACATCCAACAAACCCTGTGAATCATGGAAACAAACGCATAACATTACGACCCTTCATAAACAGCTAAATACTGCTAGCCATGAGCAGACGCAGTCTCACCTAGTCATTGGGTCTCACTGCTTGGCAGGTCTGCTATGACTTCGGAAAGCTCTCATGAATAATTAAGATGAAGGGTCTTCTCATAGGATAAGAACACTCAGCTATGAATAATAATGAGAAACTCCAAACATCACTCTACTTGCAGATTTGCAATTTGTCAAAGATTTTGATTCTGCCCCAAAAATTATTTCAAACCAAGAAGATGAAATTAACCAACAACAGCTGAAAATTATCCAGTTTTCCCCACATTTAAAGCTGACAGGTGCTAATGTTGACTTAAATGATGCTTCGCACACACAAATCTGTGAAGAGTTCTCAAGAATGTCTTAAACCTTTAAAGAAAAGGGAGTTTTAAACATCAGAGAATATTTGCAAAATCCTTCATGTCGTCTGAATTTGTCTTCTAAAATGAACATTTTTCTTAGCCTCCAATGTTTATGTTCAGTCATATTGAGCATTTCCTGGTCCTAAAATTAGACGTTCCCCCTCCACTTCTGTGTTTTAAAGACCTGTCTATTTTCTCTCGCTCTTAATACTCCATGACCGTTTCTATTTGGTAAATGTTTCTTGTATATTCTGCTTTCTTCTAATCTTTAGTACTACTATGTACACACTTTGGTTGTTTGTGAATGTGCTTTCTAAATAAATATTCTATTGTATTGTAAATGACCAAACCTGCACACAGGAGTCCGAGAAGTCTCAATTGAAACATTTCAGACAGAAGTTCTTAATATTTCACCCACATTTTGAAAACCCTTCACTCTTCAAGATATTTGCCATTGATGGTTACATGAAGAACCTGTAAAATCCACCATTGCACAAAGACTTTAGATTATGAAATGGTTCCTCAAACTACATTCATCACTGTGAAAAAGCTTTTTAGTTCCTCCCGGCACCTTTATTTTTAAGAGTGTTTTCTGTGTTTGTTATGTATATAAAACACTTGATACAGACACCAAAAAGAAGATGCCTCATATCTGCCCCTCTACATCCTTCAACACAGGAACAAATCCAGGATCAAATTCACTGGTTCAGAATTCAAACTTTATTGATTACTTCACCAAATGCCTGTAAGATTACATCACAATATGTATAGAGTTGAACATTATCTGTATATTTTACATGAAAACTTTACACATTGTATTTCTTCATATACTATATATATTTATATTTCCCAACCTCAGGGAGGCAAAGTAGACATCCATAGTTGCAAGGGAAGGAATGCTTTTCAGAAAATATTTAAATGCACTTCAAGAATGAAATACATCCTTCGTGGAAATGAACCGGGGTTTGGATATACACTGGTAATACACTAGTAAGCCATATGCTGTTGGGGTTCATGAAGATATACCTGGTTTATACAGTACATCCGTAGTCCTGGGTTTCTTTCATAATGACTCCCATTGCGTAGACTTGTCAATTCAGTCCGACTCTGAATCAGGAGCAAGCAGCACTTGCGAAAAAAAATGAACAATTAAAAAAAATCTATTATTAAAGCAAACTTGAGTGGAGTAAAATTAAATAATATTCATTAGATGTCTTAAGATTTTGATAAATATGAAAACAAATAAACCCTTCAAATCACAAACCTAAATCTGCTGAAAAGCCTGTGTGGAATGGTAGTGTGTGTGTGTGTGTGGATTAACACCAGATGCTTTGAAAGGAACTGTTACATTCTTATGACAACGTGTGTTTTGCTGTAACTCCAAATCAAAGTCTTTCCCCACAAACTAAAATCATTTTAACGGCTTAAAGTTAATCTGAGATGCTTATTTAATCAGTAAATGAAAACGGCCATTGCTCACTGGGTGTCTCAGAGGTTGATCTCATTTCTGTAGGTTTGTTTCTTTGAGAAAAACGACAAATGAACAGATCAGAACAAAGATGAAATCAACAGACGATCAGATACACAGCAGTACTGGTAATAAATTACGGTGGCAGCAATCCTGAAGAAAGTCAAACCTAAAAAGAAGCACAAGTGACTCATGTGTTGATGACGGAGCAGAAGCGTCACAGTGCTGTTCTCTCATCAAAGCTGGCGTTCAAAGAAAACGTTCAGGACAGTCATTCTGTGTCCCATCCATGCTACAGTCTCGCTCTCTTCCCAGTTCATCTCTGTTCTCTTTATGCTTTATGATGAAGATGATGATGACGAAGGCTGTGCTTGGCCCAGTTCAGGAGCAGCGATGTGGAAGACGGAACCGATGCGGAGGAAAAATCGCCGCAGAACAGCGCGGAGCTCCGGAATGAGGTCGAACTGCATCATCTCACATAGATGGTGGTAGTAGCAGGAGGCATGAGGCTTGAACTGGGGGAGAAAAAACAGGGGTACACATTAATTTCATATTTTAATAAATCTATATTTTAAAAATATTTGTTATTTTGTTATTTTATATTGGTGTTTAATGTTTTCAGTTAATATTGTTGTTAATATTTTTAGTTATTTCATGTAATTTAATTTTATAAAGTTTTGTTTTTATTTTTAAATGTGAAATTTGGTTTAATTTCATATTTAATTTAAGTATTTATTCTTACATTTAATATTACATTTATATATATTTTTTATTTTGCCATTTTATATTTATTTATTTAAATTTTCATATTTTAAAGTTATTTGTTTTATATTCATATGCACTCACTGGCCACTTTATTAGGTACACCTTACTAGTACCGGGTTGGACCCCCTTTTGCCGTCAGAACTCCCTTAATCCTTCGTGGCATAGATTCAACAAGGTACTGGAAATACTCCTCAGAGGTTTTGGTCCATGTTAACATGATATCATCACACACAGCATTGCTGTAGATTTGTCGGCTTCACATCCATGATGCAAATCTCCTGTTCCACCACATCCCAAAGTTGCTCTATTGGATTGGGATCTGGAGACTGTGGAGGCCATTTGAGTGCAGTGAACCCATTGTCATGTTCAAGAAACCAGTCTGAGATGATTTGAACTTTATGACATGTCGCATTATCCTGCTGGAAGTAGTCATCAGAAGACATGATCAGCAACAATATTCAGATAGGCTGTGCCGTTGACACAATGCTCAATTAGTACTAATGGGCCCAAAGTTTGCCAAAAAATATCCCCCACGCCATTACACCACCACCACCAGCCTGAAGCGTTGATGCAAGGCAGGACCCAAGCTTTCATATTGTTGACACCAAATTCTGACTCTACCTTTCGAATGTCACAGCATAAATTAAGACTCATCGGACCAGGTAACGTTTTTACAATCTTCCAAAAAAGTCCAATTTTGATGAGCCTGTGTGAATTTTAGCCTCAGTTTCCTGTTGTTAGCTGAGAGGAGTGGCACCTGGTGTGGTCTCTGCTGCTGTAGCCCATCTGCTTCAAGGTTGGACATTTGCTTCATTAATACTTAAAAAAAAAAAAGACATATTCATCCAAGCCTTTTCATCCAGCCTTT